GTTCCATGGACAATTGTCCACTTGAAGGTGAGCCCATCCAAATTCATAGAGAAGAATTTTCAGATGGTGAGAATTTTTACCACCGTAAGGACTGAAATGGTGAGGCAAAAGTCTCGAGGCAAAAGACTAATAAGCAGGTCTGTCATCACATTGCCAGTCTTATGAGCCAGCTTTAGTATGCATACTCTTAAAAAACATGATCAACCATAGGAATTAGTAAACAAAATGTATTAAATAGGATGTCCGGTGTATATTTATACACTGTGAAAGGTCCGTGCTAGTTCTTCTGGTTTCTCGCCTGCCTCACAGTGCTATAAAAGGAGATCTGATTATGTGTTTGGAAATAGTGGCGTCAAGTATATCAACAAAAAGTCTAAATTTGTGTTTTTTAACTCACCACTGAATTTTTAAAAATCCTGGCAAACGTTATATTTATTCTGGAGGCCAGAGTAGATCTCTTGTCTAAACAATACTCACTTTACAATTTTTTTCCCCATTAAAGGCTCCTTTTTCCCTTTTAAAAAGAAAACAAAAAACAAATTTAAACTTTTAAAAGGGAGTTTTGGTTAAGTATTTTTAAGAGTCTGACTTCAGCAGCCTAGCATGAGAACAACTACATGATCCAAAACTGAGGATCTAATTTCATGACTGGCGGGGACATGTGTGTAAGTGGAAGGAGGTGTTGGTTTTCACCACAATTTTCAATTTCCTTTAAAGGTGGATTATATATTTATTTTTGCATTTATTTGGGGAACATGCAAATATCTCACGATAGAAAACTTGAAATAGGGATGTAGAGAATTCTGCTTTGTCTGAAACAGTCTGGGCCAGCTCTAGCCGGTGTTAGACTCTGTAGCCTGAATTACTTTACCTTGTTGACCTCCCTGAATCTCTTGGGCGGGGGGGGGAGGGTGTCTTGATGCAAGCAAGGCTTCAAGGAACAATGGGCCTGATGGAAACTGTATAGAAGTCCAGTTAGTCTTCTTATTGACTTCATTGGACTTTGTATCACAGCCTCAGATACCATGATGAGGTACCTTAGAGTGGGATGTGGAGGAGATGCAACCCATCTTTGTACTACACAGCCTCTCCCTATCCTACACTGACGGCCTGATCCAAACACTACTGAAGCCTTGGTTTTGATGGACTTTAGATCAGGCCCTAAAGGAGGCAGTGAGCCTGCAAAAATAATAATAATTGTAACTATGCAATTAAAGTCTGTATAGTATTCATGAATATAACAAGGGCCGGCAGAGTTAAGGTTGTATGCTTGCAAGATTGCATGTGCAAAACTAAGTTTAATTGTTTCCTGGCTTTGGAGTGCTTTATTTTGCAGCCATGATATTTTCTTAACGGGGCTTCTCCTTGCCTCTGTAATTTTTCAAAGCTTCAGTACAGTATACATTTTGTCCCTGTTTGTCTTCCTCTTCCTCTGCTGGGGAGTGGCAGTTTCTGAATTTTGCCTGCATACAAGTCAAGCTGACAAAAATATTTACGGTCCCTCTTGATAGTATGAAGAATGTTTCAAAAGCCGTGTTAGTGCTGGTTTATGCACTGAGAGGGAAACTGACACTCCAATTTATGGTCAGCTGTCACCTGGAGACAAAGCCGGCAATGCATAAATAGGCTAGAGCAGTGTTTCTCAAAGTAGTGTGCGGAACCACTCTGAGAGAGCTGCAAACAGGCTGCTACGGTTTGTTTATTTACCGGTGCTGCAGCCACAGAGCCTGTCAGCTCCCATTGGCTGTGGTTCGCTGTTTGCAGCCAAGGGGAGCCGTAGGAAGCAGCTGCCCGGCCCACGTCATTTTCCGTGGCTCCTTTTGGCTGCAAACAGCAAACACAGCCAATAGGAGCCACGAAGCGCTGTGGCTATGGCACTGGTAAATCAACAAACTGTAGTGACCTGTTGGCAGCTTTCTCAGAGTGGTTCCATGGACAACTTTTAGAAACTCTGGGCTAGGGCCTCACAAGTGCCACTTGCAACCCTCGGCCTTTTGGGATTTGTTTGTTTGTTTTTGCATCCCAACCCCTTTTCTGACTTTCAGAAAGAAATCCTTTGGGACTCCTGTTTTGGAGTTTAGATTCATCCCAGAGCCTGATTTTTTTATTTTTTGAGGGGAGAAGTTTGGAGTAAATCAAATACGCTGCATCTGAAAGACGGACCTCTGAGAAAGAGAAAGCCCCCAACATTTTAGAACAAAGGTTTTTGGAATTTCCGGGGCCACTCCATTTTGCTTTTCAAAACCAGAGATGGGACCCAGACAGAAGCACCAACTCCATATCCTTCAGACCTAAGAAGAGGAGTTGAATCCACTCTAGTTCCTGTGGCTTTGCCTCTGAATCAGATCCGGACCTTGAATGGGAGGCTGATCTTTGCCCCAAATGGGAGAATTCTTGCAAGAACTGACATTAGAATTAATTCTTTTGAATTGCGCCCTCCCCCCACCCCCACTTTGTGCTAGGAAATGCACAATCATGCTACAGAAGCCAGTCCATGAAGAGCTATTAGAGCTTGCCTGCAAGATGAAATTTGTCCAGAATAGCTATGCCATGCTAGCTGCCCATGTGCAGCTCATTTAGAGCACCTTTGTGTAGTTTAGCCTAAACCTCTTTGGAAGTGATTAATCTAACCTGCACAAAGGCACTACTCAGGCAGAATAAGTGTCCCCATGGCACGTTAATACAGAATAGCAATTGAGCTTTAAATTCAAACCCTAGTTTAATTTGCGATAGCGTCCCTATCATGCAAACCCTTAGCCTAACATGGGTGGCAGACCCAGACCATTGGGTACCACTGTCTGATGAAAGGTAGCTGTGCTGGTCTCTGGGATCAGAAAACTCTTCCCCTGGAATAACCAAGCCAGAGGCAGCTGCTGCAGCGCAATCAGGAAAAGCCTGGGGCATTTAAAAGCTTTCCAGAAGCAGCAGGCTCATCAGAACTCTTGCAGCGTCATTAAGGACCTTCTGGGGCTAGTTTAAAAGGCTTCCCTTCAGGGAGGGCTGGCAGGCCAAGGACTGGGAGTGAAGAGGTGCACTGGGGAAAGAGCAGGAGGACGTGGTCAGGTACCAGGAGACAAGTACTGGGAGGAGATGGTTGGGGATGTGGCTCAGGGTAAAGGACTCACTACCTGCTGCTGCCATTATGGTCCCTGGGCCGGAACCTGGGACAAAGGGTGGGTCTGGGTTCCTCCCAATCCTCCCTGAGCCACTATGGAGGCCACCCCTGAAGAGGGAGTTTGGGATTAAACCCTGTTTGGCTGCCCTATGATGCAGGCTCTGACTGTTTCTTCTAGTAAAGGGTGAGAGGCAATGTAGAGGGCCACAGTGAGCCACTGAGAGAAACACAATCTGCCTAAAAGCACAGGATCGCCATAGGAAAGGCTGGATCTCTGCCACGTGAGACAAAAGAAGTATCGTCACCATTTACAGATGAGGCACCAAGAGATTAAGCATATAGCTGCACTGACATGTAAACCCAGCGTTTGAGCTTCGGGTTGCCAGATGGTTGAAACAAAAATACCGAACACTCTCTACCCCTTCCCCTCTCCCCCCCCAAAAAAACACCGGGAGAAAATTCTGTTGAAGGGGAAAAAAGGAGGGGGGGGGGGGAGAGACCAATGTAGTTGAGCCAAAAAAAAAAAAACCCTAAAAGAATATATTAAGCCAATAAATAAATAAATAAATAAAACAGCATGTCCCCTTTAAGAGTGAGTGCAGGGATAGGAACAGGGGAGCAGTTGAGCACTAAGCATTGCTTCCCCTAGGTCTTTTGGCCGGCAGCCATTTTATGCTGGCAGCCTTGGGGAACCAGGTAAGCATGGGGTCTGGTAGCTGGGGGAGGAGGCCGGGCACTGAGTGTTTGTAGGGTTGCCAGGTGCCTGGCATTTTCGGCTCCTGGCCGGGGAAAAATTCAGAAATACCGGACATTTTAAGTATCCAGTATTCTCTGAATTTTTTTACCGGACTGTCCGGTTGAATACCGGACACCTGGCAACCCTATTTTGAGCTCAGATTCAAACCTCGCACAGGTGCTTTCCCCCTGCCCATGTCTGCCTGCACAAAAATCATGTTAACACAAGGCTTGGAGCCAGGGTCTCAGGACCCACCGCAGTGGAGGGCCCAAGCCTGAATCAAGCTGGGACCCAGAGTTCAAGCCCGCTTGGCAGTGTAGACATAGCTCCACTAGGCTCATGCTCTTGGAGTCTGCCAAAAGTATCCCAGAATTCCACAGGCCAACTTCCTCCATCCTCTGGATAGTCATGCTTCCCCAATGCCTAATCTAGAATTACAAATTAATGTAGACACTCAGACTCTAGTTTAACAAACCCAGGGTTGGCAACTTAAATTCTACTAACCCCTAGCTTACATTGCCCAAAGTCATACAGAAAATGAACTATCAACTTACTAAACAAAAGTACCTTTGGTACTCGGCCAGCTGTAAGATTTCTGAATCATTTCACCCTTCTTTTGGACTAGCCAGGAACCCAACCTCCTAAAGCTTGTTTACATGTGGACACCTGAGGTATGGCTACACTATAGATTCTGGGCTAGCAATTATGTTGATATATCTATGCCAATGTAGACCGATCCATAACAAACAGAAGGCCTTCTTATGTCACTGTGGGAATGCCAGCTCCCTGAATTGAGTTAGCTAGCCCTTTTCTCATGACCTAACTTCTTATACGCAGGGAGTTTGTTGGAATATCTATGTCAGTCAATAGGTGTGGGTTTTTTCCACACCCTTAATTAACATAGCTATGCCAATATAACTTTTTAAGTGTGGATCAGACTTCAGGAATGTGAATCTGGATTAACTAATGGTGTACATTTAAAATCTATTAGTCAGTTATGAATAAAAGTGTTCACACTGGGGTTTAATGTGGTTTAACTAGTTCATTTTGAACTCATACCTTTAATTCGGATTATTTTCTCTGAGCATCTCATGTAGATAAGTGCTTAAGGATCCAAACATACTAATTCAGCTCATCTCTTATTGACAGTGTTGCAAACTCCCATGGTTGCATTGTGAACCCTTATCATATAGATCTACTGGAGTCGTGATTAGGTGAGCCTCTCAGCTTTCTTTTATTAAAAAATAAGTTTCTAGCCATGTAAGCATGAAAATGTGAATACTAAAGGCTCAAAACTAGAAGGCAAGGAAGAGATCAAAATCCCTTGGACTGTTTGTGGCCGAGTCATGATTTCTGAAAGTTTGGAATTAGCAGTACTGCATTCACCCACCTTGCTTGTGCCAATTTTTTTATACATTTTAGTCCTAGAACATAAGGTGGGTCTGCAACTCACAGTGATTCTGTTGTACATTTCTTTCTTTCTAGACTTACCTGGCATTGCTCGGGTCCTTAATTCAAAAAGACAAAAGTTAATTGAGAATAAAATGAAAGTGTACGTGCTTCATTTAAATCATTGCTCTGGAGTGGGGCTGGAGATGAGAGGTTTGGAATTCAGGCTGCCCAGGGGAGAGGGGGAAACCCCAGCCCCCTCACGGCAGCAGCTGGGTGCCAGGTGAGAAGCACCTCTCCATGGCCACTGCAGCTCTAACAGGCACAGCTGGTGCAAAGTGCATGTCTCCTGGCTGGGGCAGGCCCAGGTCGTCTGCTCTCTGCACTCTCCAGCCAGAGCGAGGAATGCAGCAAATGCACACTTTCTCCTGTCTCACTAAGTAGAACAGCCAGCAATGTTCCTGTATTAACAGGGAGGAGCTTCCGTGCCCCACCGCCCCCCTGCTCTCCTTAAAGGGCACCTGGGAAGGTGGAAGGCTGGAGGCTGGGAAAGTCTTGGCCTGAAGGTGGGACATACCACCAGCCAGCCCCCTTTCACCTGCCCGGTGGTTCTCTCTCTCTTTTCTGTTTGATTTTCAGAAGCAATCCCCTTCCAGGAAGATCCCGTTTTTCTGGCACAACCAAACACTTACCTTACTTTAAGTTATGCTAAGAGGAAGCTGTATACTGAGCTTGGTGGTCCTAGCTCTTGCCATTTAGGAGGAATTCTTATATCTACAAATATATAGTAGATTGGGCTGATACCAGCAGCGCCCCGGACCGCTGTCCTAGTGAGTGTTCTAAAATGGCACAAGTTCCTAGCAGCAGATTCTAATCTTGGCATGTAATTCATAGAATCATAGAATCATAAGACTGAAAGGGGCCTCGAGAGGTCATCGAGTCCAGCCCCCCGCCATCAAGGCAGGACCAAGCTCCGTCTACACCATCCCTGACAGATGTCTATCTAACCTGTTCTTAAATATCTCCAGAGGGAGATTCCACCACCTCCCTTGGCAATTTATTCCAATATTTGACCACCCTGACAGTTAGGAATTTTTTCCTAATGTCCAATCTAAACCTCCCCTGCTGCACTTTAAGCCCATTACTCCTTGTCCTGTCCTCAGTAACCAAGAGGAACAAATTTTCTCCTTCCTCCTTGTTACCCCCTTTTAGATATTTGAAAACCGCTGTCATGTCCCCCTTTAATCTTCTTTTTTCCAAACTAAACAAGCCCAGTTCATGAAGCCTGGCTTCATAGGTCATGTTCTCTAAACCTTTAATCATTCTTGTCACTCTTCTCTGCACCCTTTCCAATTTCTCCACATCTTTCTTGAAATGTGGCGCCCAGAACTGGACACAGTACTCCAGCTGAGGCCTAACTAGTGCAGAGTAGAGCGGCAGAATGACTTCACGAGTCTTGCTTACAACGCACCTGTTGATACAACCTAGAATCATATTTGCTTTTTTTGCAACAGCATCACACTGTTGACTCATATTCAACTTGTGGTCCACTATGACCCCTAGATCCCTTTCCGCCATGCTCCTTCCTAGACAGTCGCTTCCCATCTTGTATGTATGGAACTGATTGTTCCTTCCTAAGTGGAGCACTTTGCATTTCTCTTTATTAAACCTCATCCTGTTTACCTCTGTCCATTTCTCTAACTTGCTACGGTCATTTTGAATTATGTCCCTATCCTCCAAAGAAGTTGCAACGCCACCCAGTTTGGTATCATCTGCAAACTTAATAAGCGTACTCTTTATCCCAATATCTACATCATTGATGAAGATATTGAACAGTACGGGTCCCAAAACAGACCCTTGCGGAACTCCACTTGTTATCCCTTTCCAGCAGGATTTAGCACCGCTAACAACTCCTCTCTGACTATGGTTATCCAGCCAATTATGCACCCACCTTATCGTGGCCCTATCTAATTTATATTTGCCTAGTTTATCAATAAGAATATCATGCGAGACCGTATCAAATGCCTTACTAAAGTCTAGGTATATGACATCCACCGCTTCTCCCTTATCCACAAGGCTCGTTATCCTATCAAAGAAAGCTATCAGATTAGTTTGGCATGACTTGTTCTTCATCTGCTAAATGGGTCTGCTTCTCAGTCCCTGGAGTGGAGCCCCATGCCCAAGCCAGGAGCAAAAAAGGAAAGAGTTCACCTATCCACACAACCTACTCTTTGGGCAGTGGTGAAGTAAGGAGCCAGTTCACATGTGGCAGGAACAGGACCGCAAAGTGAGAGAAGGTGCTGACTCTTCTAGCGCATGTCTAGGGTCAGGGCCGGATTAAGGCATGGGCTAGCCGGGCAGCTGCCTGGGGTGCCAACCTATGGAGGGTGCCTGATGGCAGCTGTAAGGGGCGTGCAGTGAGCTGCAGCAGCTCCCAGCGGCCACCCTGCAGTGGCTGCCTGGGGCGGGGGCCACATCCACCCCCGCAGGGCTGGCCAGCAGTGCCCTTCCCCCCACGGCCGCGGGGCCCTGCATAGCTAGGCATGATGGCTGGGCTGGGCCAGACACGTGCATCCTACTGCCGCCAGCTCCGCGTGCCTGCGCCAGGGCGGGGCCACGCACACGCCCTCCCCCAACTCGGAGGCGAAATTAACCTGTCAGTTCGGGGTGCCGGAATGGCTCGGTCCAGCCCTGTCTAGGGTACATGCTCTGGGAGTGAGAACATTTGATGTAATCCTGTATGATCTGAAATATCACTGAGTTCTACCCCAGTAAGTGTCCTACATCGAACTGGGTACTAGTAGAGCTGTTTGGGGGGGAGAAGATGAAAAACTAGCTTAACAAAACCCATGAACTTTTGAAGTCTTATTTTTCCTTTTGAAGGGTTTGCCAGGGGCTGACTTTCTGTTTTTTTCTAAAAAAACAAAAAAACAAACCAAATCAAAACAAAAAAACCAGCAATTTTATTGGAAATTTTTCCTTACTTTAAAAATGTCAATGAGCTTGGTGTGACAGGTTGTATGATGGAAATCCCCTTGGGATTATCACATGGGCTGTGTCTAGACTACACCTCTCTGTCGACAGAGATGTAGATGAGGCACGTCGAAATTGCTAAGGATGCAGGGATTTAAATATCCTGTGCTTCATTAGCATAAACATGGCTGCCGCTTTTTTCAAAACGGCGCTTTTTCGAAAAAACGGCAGTCTAGATGCGGATCTGTCGAAAAATAAACCCTTTTTCAAAAGATCCTGTATTCCTCAAAAAATGAGGTTTATATGATCTTTCAAAAAAGGATTTATTTTTCAACTGATCCATATCTAGACTGCCTTTTTTTGTTTTTGTTTTTTTTCAAAAAAGCGCTGTTTCGAAAAAAAGTGGCAGCCATGTTTATGTTAAAGAAGTGCAGGACACTGAACCAGCTCCGCTCCAGGAGGGCTGCTATTAGGCCTTTGATAGCACCCAGAAACATAGGCTCCAAAAGGACCTAAACCCCAAATAAATCCTCCTTACCCTGAGTAAAAGTTTGACACACAGAAAGCTCATGAATATGTTCATGCTCTTTAACAATGAAAGTGAGAGATACTCCTCCCCACCACCAGGTGACAGTCATTTTCATTGGGCTTGATAATAAGCGTGTATTTTTATTAAGTAAAAAAAAGTAGGATTTAAGTGATTGTAGGTGAAAACAGAGAAATCAAAGGAAGGTACTAAATGCATTAGAAATAGCTGGCATCTTGTGTTTGTTTTAATTAAGAAACTTGTTACATGCAAATTCTTACCCTAAATCAGGGCTGGCCAACCCGCAGCTCGCGGCTCTTCCCCCCGCCCCCCCCCCAGTGCAGCTCGCAAAGTCTCCCCCGTGGTTTGCGAAGCTGCCCCTAAAAATGGCCCCCGGACCCCGTTTCCTTGTGCTCACTGTGGGGCACAGCAAAGCAAAATGGCACCAGCCAACGGGAACCTGATGTGCTTGACCAAACATGGCTGGGGATTTTTTTTTCTCGACAACCTTTTCCCCCCAGCTCTTTGCACTATATCCCCAACTATTCTAACTCTTTGCCTAATGGGTTGGCCACCCCTGCCCTAAATAATTGCTTTTTTAGCTCAGGTGAAATGCTTCAAGTCAAAGATGATCTTTACTCTGGCCAGGGTCTACAGCTTTTCAGAGTTCTTTGTTTTCAGGTTTCATATATATGTATATATATATATTCTTAGTGTGGGCAAGGCAGTTTAAAAGGCCAGCTGAAGACAAATGCTCAGATTGCTTTCCATTCCTTTAATATACTTTCCCCCAGTGCAGGAAGCTTTTGTTCAGTCTCCCCCTCCCCATGGAAAAGTACTTGATTCAAGATGGATTTCAATACCAAGTGTCATGGTCACATGTCTTTTTAGGACCAAGCACAGTTTGGGCTCATAGGAAAAATAGAACCATTTACAAGTTGTTGGTTTGAATACTGAGCCATTAAGTTCCTAAAGTATCACTAACGGCCCTCATTAGCCCATCTAGAATTAAAACATTCACATTTCATAGTTCTAACTTCCATTACAAGAATGATACATGCACAAAAATAGGATATACACATTCAGTAGATTGTAACTGTAAAAATGATATGTTACATGGCTTGTCTTGCATAAAGCATCTTTGAGTTATGCATATTCATAAGCCAATTGTAATAAAGAATGAAGGGTGTTTTGACAGCTCATTTTGATGTTCCCCCAACCCCCCCCAAAAAAATTACAGGATTCATTATTTAAACAATGGCACTTTTTTTTCCTCCTCAAACAATTAAAAATTCCAACCACGCCATTCACTGCACTAGGTCTGCCAGTATACACGTAGAGGCTATGTCTACACTGCACCCGTTTGGCGCAAGAAATATGCAAATGAGGTGAAGTTTTGAGCAAAACCAGCCTCGTTAATTATTCAAATGAGGCGTGGCGATATTCCATGCTCCGCCTCATTTGCATATTTCTTGCATCAAATGGGTGCAGTGTAGACATAGACTAAATGTAGACCAGGTCTTAGTCCTTGGAGCTAAATCTTCAAAGGTATTTAGGCATCTAACTCCCATTGAGTTGATTTCTGCTTGAGGCAAAGATCAAAGCAAGCAAAAGTTTGGAGTCTTGCTCAGGTGGACACTCAATATCCCATGAAAACATTTAGTCGGCTGACCTTATCTTCTTCTCTGGCACTGATAGTAGATGTAGGGAGAAATACCCCACCAAAGCTCCTTAACCCTTTCAAAAGTGTACTTAGAATACAGTGAGCTTCTGGCCTGATTTCCCCTCCCACTTTCTGACAGCTTAGGTCCTGTTTCTTGTGGCTCTGTAAATCATAAAGTCAGCTAACTTGGGGTGCAGTTGTGTGTGTGTCTCTCCCTCTCGCCCTCTGCTTTCTTGTTCAGCTATTCTCAGTTATAAATACTCTGTGTAACTGCTGGCTAGCAAGGTCAGTCTGAGGTGATGAGCTGATTCCATGTGTGTCTGCAAACAGTAATTTAAAAGGGTCTTAGCTCTGTAACCGCTACATCAACTGACAGTAATTCGATTTCTGTAGGCCTTTGTGTCCTCCCTCCGGAGAGGCTGGCGTAAAACTTCCCAGAGTGCAAGTCCTCTGACAGAAGGTGCAGCAGACCTTATTAATGTGATTCTTGAAATGATCTGAAACCATGGGGTGGGGAAACAAAAACAGAAGCTGAGTTGGAAGAAATTGAAATCTCTGACCTTTTTTTTCTCCCCCCTCCCCTTTGTGTATCTGCAGATGACAAGTGACTATCTGTGACTTAAACAAGCATCCAGGCAGTAGTATTACTTCAGACCAAGGCCACAAGATGATCTTAAATGGCCGCATTAATGAAATCATTTTCAGAAAAAAACAATCTTCTCTGTAGCTCCTTTTCCTCAAGTTTTGCTCCCAATACAGGAAACCAAGACATTGATATTAATTACCTCTCTATCTTCCAGAATGGGGAAAGGAAATTATCATGATCAATTTTAATTAAATGCTCAGTGGAAGAAATTAGCAGCATCCTGAAGAATAGAAGTGAAAGAGAGATTTGCGATCATTTTTAAAAGAACAAAAAAATAAAGTCTGATTTTTTTCCTTCTTGAAATCACTCAAGAATATAGCAAGAGCGCTCCCCTTGCCAGCGAAGATAACAGAATTGCTTTGTTTGGCCTAAACCCCCGATCATACAAAAAGTCTGTGACCATCTTTCTCTTGGCCTTATCTCAGCTACAAGTCATAGGCTACCATCCAGACAAAGAGGAAAAAGATGGTTGCCATCAAGAAGAAGAATCTGAAAATGTTTTCACTTGCCTTACTATTCGTCATCACAGTAACATCATTTTTGCTGAATTACACACACAATGCAGTGATGGTCACCTGGGATCCCAAGCAGATTGTCATGCAGGTCTCAGAGCACTTTAAAAAATTAATGAAATACCCCCAAAGACCGTGCAGCTGTCATTCATGTGTTTCCGAACTGGGACTTTCCTTTTGGTTTGATGAGAGGTTAAATCAAACTATACAACCTTTCCTGACCACTCGGAATGCCTTAATTCCAGAGGAGAGCTACAAGTGGTGGCTGGTAAGTAGAAAGGGTTTGTATGTGTGTGAAAATTGTGTATTTAATTATTGTTTGTATTTCAGTAGAGATTAGAGATCTCAGCTGGCCCTTAGCTTTGGCACTGTCTAGTAGTAAGAAACAGTCACCCCAAAGAGCTTACTGTCTAAATAGATAAGACAAAAGGTGGGGGAAAATGGATAATACTGTTTGTGTTTTCCAGATAAAGACTTGCAGAATCTAGTAAGTTGTCCAGAGTCACAGCAGTTTTAGCATTGATCCCAAAGCTCTCTAATGCCAGTCCTGTGCCTTAACCACAAAATTATTCCTCTTTCCTTTTCCACCAGGTAAGAACTTTTTAGACAATGGAATTAACCTATGGAACACATTGCCATGAGCGCCTGTGTTTGACAAAATAACCGTGTTTATAAAACATTAGATATTCTGAATAAGAACTGCCACTGTTCTATTTGGTCGTATGATTCCAGGATCTAAACTGTCCACTTCATGACAGGTGCCATTTAGCAAGAAGTGTCACCTGTGCTTAATCCTCTGTGGCAGGATAACTTGCCCCAGATCCTGTTAAAATCACTGGAAGGATTCCCATTTGTGTCAGTGGACGTTGGATTGGGCCCCGTTTGTTATAACGGTGGGTTTTGTGGTTGCCTTTGAAACAACTGGTCTGATACCTATTCAGCAACATGCCGGTGGCATTTAAGCATGTACATAAAAGGTTCGCTGACTTGGGGGCCTAGTGTGTGGTGCTGTTTGGGCCACTGATCTGATCAGATGAGGGCTTTGGTAAAGTGCAAGAGTATGCCAGTGTCCTGGCAAGATTCCAGAAAGGGTGCTAATTACATTCTGTCAGTGTAGAGAACACCTGTTTTCCCTGCAATTTCCTTTGAACACGGAAATCTACCCTTCCTGCCCTAAACTCTTACATTGTGCCATCCTTGGTGCAGTAGACGGGCCCCTCCCTCAGATACTTCCTGTCAGAGGAGGAGGATTGTGAATTGGGAGGGGGGCTTCAAACAGTTCGGGAGGGAGCTAATTCGCTGTTGCAGTTAGCCAGCTTGATAGCTAATAGGAAATTGACCATGAGAGTTAATTGGCTCTGGAATAGAAATTCGTATTCTGAAATGAAGCCAGACCCTTCCATCGTTCCTCTCTGAGATCCTCCAGCCTTTCAGTTAGCTCCTCAGAGGTGTTTGGTGTGCAGTGCCTATTGAATCCAATGGGAGTGCCGGAGGCCCCTGAGATGCAACCGCCCGAGTTCCGACCCCCTGCACTTACAGCCACTTGTATAAGTGCGGAAGGGGCCAAAAACCCCAGACTTACATCCTCGGCCTGCATGTATGACGGCGCCTGGCGCCTACTGTAAATGCAGGTTCATGTTACAATGCCCCCGACTTGCAACGCTTCTTCTGGAACCAATCACGTTGCAAGTTGGGGGCTTCCTGTAATGCACCTTCCTGCTTTCCTGTGGTTTTATGTCACTGTAACAGGGTGGCTTGCCCTGGGTTCAGCCCACCCTACTTACAAAGGAGGAAGACCTGAACATGGAACATCTGATCTCTCCCGCGAGGGATGCTCAGGGCTACTGGAATGAAGTAGAGAGGGTGCTGAGAAGCGGGTAGTCTCCAGTATAGAAACCAGGAGTGTAGGGAGTAAGCCTACAGGCAGGAAAGGTCTGGGAGTGACGTAATGAGGCCAAGAAGGAGGAAGATGGGGGACTTGAGAATTTTACTCTGAATGGTTAATTCAATAGACCAGAGCCTGAGAAGGGCTGTGAATGGACAAAGGGGTTTGGGAGCTCTTGAAGTCCCAAGAAGGGAGAAACCGAGGTAGGAGGATACACGCAGGGCCACGCCTAGCGACAAGGGCAAATGGGAGACAGCCTGTCCTACAATTGTCATCCTCCCTTTGCGTGTCTTCTGCCTGTGATCTAGCTGTGCTTTTGCATTTGGTCTCTTCATCTCCGCTCATGTTGCAGCAACGGGGGAAGGGAATAGGAGGTGGGCTTTCAACCCATTCCTCCCCCCCACTCCAATCCACTGATTCCTGACTTCTCGTGAAAGGGAAGAGGGAGGAGCCAAAGATCTGGCTTCACCCCTTGTTCAGGTCTCTGGGCTTGCTCTTCTTGTCTTGTACTGGTGCAACCATTTCAGTGAAGGGGGGTGATTTTTTTTTCCAACATAAATTTTACCAGAAAACCTCTGCGTGTGGGAATACATTTTACTAGAATAAGCACATTTACACTCCTAAAACTGCATCCACACTGGGGAGGGTTGTGCTGTTTATATCTGAATTTCATCTTATGTGTAGACAGGGTCTAGACCATGGGTTCCCAAACTGGGGGAGACCCCCTCTGGCCCCCCCCCCCCCCCCCCCCCCCAATAAATTTTTCCTGCCCTGGTCAGTTCCTTTTTTTTTTTCCCCTCAACAAGTTTTGCTGTTGGGAGGGGGGATGTGAGGGTTTTTCAAAAAGGGGGCGTGATGCCGAAAAGTGTGGGAACCACTGGTCTAGACAGTAAAAGTTACTGTGTACGCAGGCCTGCCAATGGGGTGAGGAGAAGGCAATTAAACTGGGGCCTGGCAAAAAAAGGGGTCCTATTAGTGGTGGCACCTGGAGCCCCAGGTCCATTTAATCATTGCCAGAAGTGTGCTGTGGTGCTCCGGGAAGCACTAAGAGCTAGGGTTGCGTGCCATGCTCCAGGCAGCATTAAGGGATGGCTGCCCTTGGTTCTGCCCCTTCTTGGAGCACAGAGCCACCCCCCACACTTTGCCCAGAGACCTGCAGAAGCTATTGTGTGTATGGCATTAGACAGTGCTCTCCTGACAGACAGGCTTCAGGACCGCGCCAAAGTAAACAAGCCAGCTCATCCCTGCAGGCTGTGCTAGAAGAGGGTGACACAAAGATGTAGGTATCCTAACCCAAGTCTCCCCTTTGAGTCTGTGAGAAAGCTAGTCTCTCTTAACCCTGCATTAGCAGGGTAAGTGATTATGGACTCCATCCTGCAAAGTCCAGAGTTTCTCCCATCCCACCTGGCTTCTGCAGGCGCTGAGGGTACTCAGCACTTCTTGGGAGGCTCACCGGATTGGTTTCCAGCAGACTGCTATGGGGGAGAATGTCCTTCCGAGGCTACGTCTACACTGCAGGCTTCTTGCACAAGAACTGTTTTGCGCAAAAGTTCTTGCGTGAAAAAGTTCTTGCGCAAGAGTGCGTCCACACTGCCATGTGCTTTTGCACAAGAGCGTCCATGGCAGTGTGGAAGCTCATTTGCACAAGACAGCTCTCATGGCCATTTTAGCCATAGGGGTTTCTTGCTCAAGAAACCCCTGTTGCCCAGCCACACCTGCCTTCTTGCGCAAGAGCTCTTGCACAAGAGGGCTTATTCCTCGTGGGGAGAGGAATAACTCTTGCGCAAGAAGCCCTCTGTTCCGACGCTTTATTGTAAATTTACTTGCGCAAGAACGCACGTGCAGTGTAGATGCTCTGCAAGTTTTTGCACAAGGACAGCCGTGGTTGCGCAAAAAGCCTGCCTTGTAGATGTAGCCTTAGGGCACTCCACTTAGCTCATTGCGGAGCCAGTGGCTCATTAAACTGGGTGCTGGCAGAGGTAGTTCACTGTATGATGGTGGAGTGTGTGGACTTGTGCTGCCTCCTGGGGAAATTTTCAGGCGAGGTAAGGGGGGCAGAATTCAACACTCATTCTGGAATCTGGCTAAGACATCCTGGCTAATGCCCATTCTCAGATAAGCACCCTGGATTTGTTAACAGCCACAGGTGGACAGGATGCTGTTGTGCATCTCATCGAAAACATGGTTCAGTTTAACTGAGGGCAGAACTTGTTCCTTAGCTATCCAACCGCAGCTGTTGTCTCTCTATACATTACTCCTGGAAACCCTGCATGTTCTGGTAATTGCCTTTCCTATAGGAAATAGTCCTCAGCAAGGTTTTCATGTTAATGGCTTTCCTGAGGCCCAAGGGCTTAGTTCAAATCTATGCTGGTCTGGAAAGTGACTATAAAAACCTTTGCCAGCTCTAAAAAGATCATTACAAGTCCAGGCAGTCACCACATTTTAGTGGTGCTGGTTTTCCCATCTTACTCATCTGTTGCTTTGAATTTGTGATTGAAACAATAGCTGCCGACAGGCTGGTGGTTTTCTAGTAGCGTCTTAAACTTGCTGTCAGGGCAACAGTGACAGCAGGGGGGCTGGCAGGATCTGGGTTCAACTGAAGTGTAACTGTTCTGTTGGCATTTTGACTACGTGGAGCCATTATTTATCTGTGGAACTGTATCATATTAAACACAGATGAGGGCTGGATTCTGGGCTAGACACAAAGATCGTCCTAGTCCCAAAGAGCTTACAATCTAAATAGGAATGTAAAGGGGTAACTGGTTAACCCTTACTGGGTGATGCTTATGGGTAACCAGTTAACCAGTGGCCCAGCGGGGCTGGAGCAGCCCCCCTGCCTGTATGGTTTGCCCCCCACTTGCAATGTGGCGCAGTGGGCCTGGCTGTAGCCCCCTTCCTGTGGCACGACATGGGGAGGCCCCGTCAGGCTGGAGCAGCCTCCTGCCCTCAGCATGATGCCACAGGCCCGGACGAGCTGGAGTGGCCCTCACCTTCAGACCAACTGGGCTAGAACAGTACGTGGGGGCTGCTCCAGTCTGGCCACGCCCAGAAAGGGGTTGCTCATGGATAACTGGTTAACTTTTTAAATGACCATTTACATTTCTAAGTCTAAAGACCCTTACTTTCCTGCATAATCATTTATTAGGCTTGTTGGATTATTGATGCAAATAGTGTTGTAGCCTCAGACTGGCTCCAGTCGTATTGAAACGATGACTATTCTCAGAACTTGCAAGCAAATACCTGAATGCCTCAGTTCAACTTGAGACCGTGGGACAGGTACAAAAGGGAGCCGTCTGTCCATCGCTTTTGTACGCTGGCCTAGGCGATGCTCTCAACTACACCACTGTAAAAAGTGAGTAGCCCGATAAACCCTTGTAAAATCA